AATGTTTTAACTCATCAGTAATTCAGTAATTCATTGAATAAATATTTCTGCGAACTATTCATCCATTCCTCAAATAAGTAGAATAACGTTTCCTAATGAGTAGATCGCGAATAAGAACATTGGTCAACCTAGGCCACCTATGGTGGTGAAGTAATGATAGTCAATTTCACTAAAATGAAATGAGTAGATCTCTCAATGCCATTAATTTCACTTAACTTCACTACCAAAAAGTGTATTAGCATCAAGACTGGATTAGATTGCGGTTTCGGCCTCGCCTGTGTCCCATCAGCACTTCAAAATGGACTAGAAACCGCATTGCAGTTACGCCACGCATCCAGGAGTGCCAATTGGTCACTAGGAGTGCATTTAAAGAAAAAACATAATCTCTCACATAATGAATTTTCTTGAAATGCACTCCTTCCAGTGACCGACTGGCACTTCTGGCGGAGGGGCGTAACGGTAACAATTCACAAATTTACGAGACTCGTTGCAATGTGGCATAGTGGTTAACGTGTCGAGAGTATATGCTGCAATGTCATATTTTGAGTCCCGCCGGGGGTGTCGATAAAACCTAGGCGAGGTCGAAACTTCAGTCCACCCAGGATGAGAATACCTTTCGGAAAAGCAAGGATATGTGAAATACAATGGAAACGCCAGCTCTACTCATATCATTGTGGGGAAATTCTACTACCAGTCCCTCATATTACTAATTTACTGGTAGTCTCGAACCTCTATTTATATACGAAAATTAACCAATTTTATCTTCCGGGTGAAAAGTTGAGTCACAATTATTTACCAAAGGATTCTTCGTAATCGCGAAGTTCCTTCATATCGATTGAAGCTCTTCGTCGGAAATCGAAATACTAAATGTGATATTTTTTGTTTGTTTTAGAAACTACCAGTTAATACGATATATGAGATACGTTCATTGTATTTCGTTTAAGGTGTTAAAGGAATAGTAGGTGAAATTGTCCACAATTATATGAGTAGATCTTACGCTTCCATGGAATTTCACATAGCGTGGCGTCCCAAAAATTATTCTTATGTAGGTTGAAGTGGACTGCAGTTTCAATCTCCCCCAGCCGGACCGGAACCAGAAGAGTGGAGTGTATAATCTTGATACATTAACCACTACTTAACATTGCCACGAATGTACTTGGGTCACAGGACAGATGTGAACTTCAAGGAAGGCCAGGCAGTATCAGATATCACATTCTGCAGGGGGATTGACGATTAAGCAAATTTTTATTTGTTATAACAATCGACAACTTTACTTATTTTTCGTTTGCATTTATGTTTTAGAGACTACCAGTAAATAAAAGTGTGAAAAAATTCAATCATCATTCATTCATCCCCATAAACTAAATAGAGCGAACGCATCATATAAATCTAAAATTCTTTAGAGATTTATTATAGTCCAGTTTTTGTTCAAAGCATGTTTATCAATGCTAACTTGTGTGGGGACCTGTCATTCAGGCTAGAGCGAAGTTTCAATATGGGTCGGGTTTAAACTCCAGTAAAACAGGATCCTAAATTTTGATGTTCTGAACACAGCAGGCCTGACTCAGTTTACATTTCTGTGAATCCGTTAGGTTTGGGGGAAGTCCTTTTGGTTAAATGAAAAAATGAAATTACGAAATTGTCATCTTTCCAATAAAGGTTGGGTAATGTAGTTATAGCACTATCCGACTTTGAGTTGAGTCGAGAGTGGGGATGAAACCCAGAAATCACAACTTTGATTGATTGTGGAGGCTTTTTTGGAGGCGAATCCAGGTGAATTTAATTGGAGATTTACGTTTTTATATAGGTGGTCTGACCTCATTTTAGCAACTCGGTCGTGTTGTCAAGGTGACCTAATTTGACAGGTCGTCTGCTGTAGTAGTCAACATTATTCTCAGCGTCGGACTGTGGACTTGTTGCATTCCCAGACGTTTCGACGGTATCGTAGTCGACATCGTTAGTAAATCTTGCCATTCTCAACATCAAGGTAAAACTCATCAAAGAGTTGGTCAAATGATTGATGTCCCTGACGATGCCGACTCCGATGCCAGTAAAACGTCTGGGATGTACCAAGTCCGCGGTCCGACTCTAAGGGTTAGCATGCATATTATCGACTCCGGACAAGGTGCGTTCCACTAGGCCCTTAAGCCAACATGACCAAGTTGGAAAAACAAGGTAAAATGACTACTATAAATCGAAATGAGACTGCAACCAAAATAGAAGGTACCACATCTTGGTCATCATATCGTTTTTTTTATTGATCAGACATCAGTCCTTCTGTCACTTTGAGCCATTAAAGGCACAATTTTGCCTCTAAAGAATAGAAAAAATAGAGGCGTTATGACGGGGAAATAGGTAAGATTATGAAAGCTCGATGAAGGGCCTTAAATGCGTCGTGTCGACGATGCAAAAAGAGGGAGGGCGCAAAAACCCGTTGGGAATGAGCCGAGGCCACGAGACTGAATTGCCCCACCAGACAAGGTGTAATCTCCGTCAAAGATGGCGAACTGGAGGTTGGAGTCTGGCATCTGGTCTCTGGTCTCTGGGCCGGTAAGCCTGTTGTTCTCTCGCCTCGGCTATCGGTTGTGTCAGCCTCGGCCGGAGGTCTGGAGCAGAGTCCTATTGCCGGGCGTCGGAGGCATCGTCGGAATCAGCAGATTTGTCGATGCAGTTGTCTGGTGGAGAGGGATCATAGAAACGGTGGCGTTTTCAACCGACCGCCGAGTGCCCCCACAGACAACCGGCCAGAAAATAGGCAATACAGAGGCCAGCCACCACTCCCAGTCCGAGGTGGTGGGGGTTCTGTTGCCAGGGCGCTCGGTCAGCAGCAAATCTGTTCTCGGACGGCGTCTGAAGAAGGCGTTGGTGACCACGTCACCAGCAGAAGTGCAGATAACGTGAATGTAAAAAGCTTTAGCCGATAAGAGCGGTGATACAGAAAATTTGAAAGAGAAAAGTTTATTAGCCTATATTCAGATTGAACAGATTTTGAAACTACCCCAGGTCGAAAAAAATGATGTAGCACTACACAGACACATTTTTTAATGGATTTGTT